GGTGGTGGGTTCCGTGGAAGTGGGGGTGGTTGCTGGGGTGGTGGGTGCTGTGGTGGTGGGTTCAGTGCCAATAATGGTTGCTGTTGTAGTGGTAGGTTCAGTGGAAGTGATGGTGGTTGCTGTTGTGGTTGGTTCTGTGGAAGTGGGAGTGGTTGCTATTGTGGTGGTGGGTTCTGTGGAAGTGGGATTGGTTGCTGTTATGGTGGTGGGTTCTGTGGAAGTGGGAGTGGTTTCTCTTGTGGTGGTCGTGGTGGGTTCTGTAGTGGTACTGGTTGTGGTTGTAGCTGTTGTGGTTGTTTTAATTGTGAGTTTAAGGTTAGGGTGCAGAGGAGCAAAGAGAGGTAGTCCTGGAGGGTAAGGTCTTGGTGGGAAGCGTGGTTTTGGGTAACCTGGAAAGGGTGGAGGATGTCTAATAGGTCCCAATGGAAGGGGTTGAGATGGAATGTGTGCTTGGCCAAAGGGAGGACGACGACGAGGAGGAGGAGGAATGCGCCCTGGTGGACGAAGAGGAGGAGGTGGTGGAATAAGTCCTGGGCCACGGAGAGGAGGGAGGCGTGATGGATTCTGTCCTCGTTTGTAGGGTAGACGAGGAGGCGGTGGCAGCTGGCCAGGTGGATATGGTCCCCTCGGCACTCCTTGACTCTCACTGGGCTGTGGAGATAGAAACCAAACAAAACAAATAACAAGGTTTCTAAATTTGATCATTTAAAGTTCAAACATTAGTATATGTACTTTTAAAAGTCATCTAGTCATGTATTTCACTGATAAAATAAGTTAGGAAAAAAAAAAGAGAATTTCCCTTCTCTTCTGGAAATCTGGGCGCTCAATGAAAACTAGGATAGTATCAAATGCAAAAAAAAACAAAAACAAAAAAACAAAAACTTTATTCTCTGACCTAGGTTTTAGAGGAGGCCCAATGACCTTGATTGCCTAATAAAAGAGACCACATTTGGAAGTAGTTTCAAGTAGAGGTAAATGCTCTAGTGGAACTATCTGAGAAAATTCTTTCTTACTCCCCATATCACAGTGAGATTCCAGGCTCTGAACCATTGATTAATTATGGAACTGTTTATTGAGAAGCTATTATATGCAATGCACCTTTTTAGGGGCTCAGGGAAATGGATTTAAGGCATGAACCCTTCCTTACATGAGTCTCAAATCTGGTAGAAATTATAACCCACCCAACCTACAATATAAGGCAATACAATAAAAAGTCCGTGAGAAGCAGTATACGTAGTGTGTTGGTTAAGATGAAGACACTGGAGTCTGATTGCTAGAGCCAATCCTTTCGCTGTGGCATGCTAGCTGAGGTGCTTACACTCTCTGCCTCTGTTTCCTCATTTCTAAAATGGTTCTAGAAATAGTTTCTACCTTATATGGTGGTTGATAGGATTATATTTAGTGTACATAAAGTGCTTAGACATAGTAAAGTCTGATGAGGACTCAATATAAATTTGTACTATTTGTACTATTTTGTATTCAGTGATTACAAGGCCTGGTGGCTTGTAGATCTGGTAGCAGTTCAAGAAAGAATTGATAAATAGTGCAAAAAACTCTAGATGGAATAGCAGTTTGGAGGGAAAGTGTAGTTTTGGCCAAAGAGAGAGGATTAAGGATTGCCTTATAGAAAAGATAGCATTTGAAATGAGGCTTAAATAATACAGTTGAAATGGAGAGGAAGAACTCAAATTAAAAGAATGTCGTAAGTAAATGAACAGGGTCAGGAAAATACAAGTCCTATTCTAGGGACAATCAGAAGACCAGTTTGTCTGGAACAGAAGTTTCAGGAAGGTGTAAGACTCCAGTCACTCTCTTGCAACCTTCAACTCCTTGCCTCTATCTTTTGGCCATACTGCCCTAGGAAACATCATACTTTTGGATCAATTCTATGCAAACTACCTTCTCTATTTCTACTTCCAGGCTGGTGAATATTGCTGGAAAATGGGAAAAATTCCTAAATGTTAGAAACACTAGAGATTCATAGTGTCCTCCCTCATCTGGCTCCTCAGCAATGCTAACCCATTCTCCCCCACTTTCCCAAAAAGGCTATCTTCTCAGCATCTACACCTCTTTTCTACCACTCTTCCCTCCCACCCCGAACAGAAGATGATCTTGCCTTCTATCTCACAAAATTGCGACTATCACATGGAGATCTTTGCTTCTCTGCCCACATATCTGTAAAACTCACCTATACCCAGCTGTTCCCTCTTTGTGGGAACAGATGTTTATGACCTCCCTGCTTATGACCATCCTCTTTGCCTGTATTTTGTGTCTATCTCCTCTCCCTCCCAGGGCCTTTCCTCTCTTAATTATCATCTTTCACTTTTCACTTCAACCACTTTGAAGCCAATCCCTGGCTCTATTCTTTCAGTCTATAGTATCGGCTTATATCTCATATATTAAAGCATCCCTCTCCTGACCTAATGTACCCTTGTAGATGAGCTGTAATCACTGGCTCATCCCTTTCCATTTCTACTCAGATATTGGGGAAGGCTAGGCTAGATTTTCTGTGTCTAATTCCTCATTTCCTATTTGCTATTTATCCTGGTTTCTGTCCCCAACACAAAACTGAATGTCTTTTACAAAGATCAGTGATAACTCAAAAATCCTGTCATTTCAGAAGGAGCTATAGCCATGGTTTGTCAGGTGACTGATTTCTCTCTGGCTACAGTTATTTGGATTATTTATGGATTATTGACCCAAAGGCTTTCAAACCACTTGCTATCCAGGATCCTTTGACCTATGGCCAGATGAAGAAGAAGAAGGCAGGTTTATAAAATTCTCTCTTCCTTTGTAACTTGATTAGGAAATATTGAGAATTCCTAGTTAGAAGTGGGACCTAAAATGTGAATATTGTGAAGATGAAAGGAGCTAGATAGAGGCTTGGATGTTAACAAGAGCCACATGCAAATTAAGCTATGAGGACGCAAACTATGAAGAACGAGAACAAGTGTCCTCAGAGAGAGAACAGTACAGAGAGAAGCAGGGATGCCGTGAGGAGTAGAGCCTGGTTCTTACGGCTGCCTGGGTTTGCTGTTCCAGTTCTAATTTATATTTATTCTTGCATTGACTTCGTTTTTCTTGAGATATCTTGAGTGAATCTGAGTTCTTAGCAACCAAATAAAAAAGCCTATAACACCATCCAACTTTATCTCTTGCCACACCCTTATGTGTCCTTGCTTTGATCATGTAGAACTACTACTGGTTCTTTCAACCTAAGGTGCTGTTTCCTGTCCCTGTGCCCTTGTACAGGCACTTCCTGTAGCTGAGAATGTTCACTCCCTCCCTAATTTCCATCCACCTGGGAAGCTCATTGCCTTCCTTCAAAATGTTTAAGTAGCTTCACTTTCCCCTCCAATATTTGAATTTGAAAGTTAAAAGAATTGTACAACAACTATTTTTATACAGTATATAATCAACCAAATTTTTACTTTTGTGAAGCTTTCATTGGAGTTCAAAGTAAATTTCATCACTTTCTTCTCAGTGATAGTAGCTATTTGTTTTGATATTTTCTCCTCTTTTAGATCATGAGCTGTTTTATTGTTGTTGAAGGAAGAGATGGTATCTTCCTCGGCTTTGTATCTCTAGCATCTCAGTCAGTGTCTGGCATCTTTGTGGGGGTGAGGGGAAGGTAAGTTAGGTGTTCTTACTCTTTTTGTTGCTTTAGCGCTTTTATTATACTACTTATAATCACTTACAATATTGTATAGTGTAGTAATTGTTTCGTGCCCCACTTCGCAAAAAATATCCCCAAGCCAAAAAACAGTGTCTCTATATTGTTAATCTTTCTATCTCTAGTTTCTGGCACCTTTAGGCTCTCAGTAAATATTTTTGAATGAATGGATGTGGACTCAAATAAAATTCTGAGGTCTTAAGTCATGGTCACTGTCATCAGTGAAGATAAAGTGCCAGGAGGAAAAGGAGTTTAGTTTTAATCATTTTGAGTTGGAAAAGCCAAGGAACTTTGTAAATGCAGATTGAAATCTCAGAGCTGGAGAGTACTGAGTACAGATTCAGCAAGTGCTACTGGGTCACATCAATAAATGAGAAAGAAATGAGAGAAGATGAACAGAGGACAGGAGCTTGAGGGTCAACAAGAGGAAGCTGAGCAGTTAGTGGATGAAAGCTGTAACAAACAGTCAAGGGCACAGGAGGAACCGCAGATGGTACAGTCGCATGGAAATCAAGGTCACAGTGAGCTTTACTGAGTGGATCTCTGGACCCTAAGCAGAGGTGGGAAGAAATCAGGTGGAAAATGACACACTTTCCAGCAAATTGCCAACGTCCATCTTAATCATTTCTGTCTTTTCCTATTCTCTTAACACAACTTCTCACTAACTTGCTTCCTTTCTCCACCGGCCAAAGGTGGTGAACTTTATAACCCTAGAAAAATGATAAAAATGTGTTCTGAGGGGTCTACATCTGGGGCTAACCACCTTTAAAAAGAAAGTCTTATTGGAAACATAGTAAAAACTGACTATTTTGACTTTCATTTTTCTTATTCGTTAAGAGAATAATATTAATGGTCACAATGGATTGCTGGGGAGATTAAATTACTTTTGTAATACTCTTTGTAGCATAGATTAGGTACTCCAAAAGAGGTGGTTTTTAATGTTATTATTATACAGCCTGCCCATATTCAAATTTAATTGTACTTTCTCTGCAGTGTCAACATTTGATGGTCTAAATCATTAAGAACCATTGAATGGAGTATGGGCTCTATGAGGGCAGAGATTTTTGCCTGATTCATTTACTGCTACAGTCCCAGCAAGTAGAATTGTTCTTGATATGTAGTAGGAGTTAAAAAATTTGTAGAGGATGAATGAATACATTTATTTAAAGTAACTAGTTGAAGAAGTAATTCTAAAAGAACTAGGAATGCTAAATTGTTTGGTCATAGAATTTCCTCTTTTCCAACTTTGATGTTTTAATCCTTGTTCAGGTGTTAATTTGTCAAAGCTAGTGTCTGATACTTAGAATCTTTAAAGTATTAAAAATAGTTTCTCGTCAAATCTGAGGAATCACAATGTCAAAACCAGTTTCTAGGACAGATCATTAAATATTCTTTTGGATAATCTGTTCTCATTCAAGTTTCTGAGGGAGATGGAAGATCCAAAATTCTATTCATTAAGATGCCTTATTTATAGCAGTCCTTTTTTGTGGTATTTGTTTTTCATTTTCTCCTTTGATACCCAGGTAATTTCAGTACTTAAGTAAAAATATCTTGAAATGTATTTGGCATTATCCTCTTGTTTTGGATCTAGTGTATCAAGAAGAGTATGACTAAACATTTCAGCAGCAAATCAGTGGGGAAAAATTCAGACTTTTCTGAAGTATGTTAGGGAATGTTATTTTTAATTGACTTTCAAAAACAAATTTTCAGTGTGGGAAAATATTTCACCTGGTTTGCACTATTGTCACAAATAAATATTTAGGTGTACCTAATATCAGAGCCCAGTTAAAAGTTAATCCAATGAAGAATCTTTACCTCAAATATCTGTTCTTTTCAGAAATCTTCAAAAAAATTTTTATAAATATGTTTTAAATTAAATATGAATAATTAGAAAGCTTGTGACATATCCAGTAAGTTAATTGTTTATAAATTCTTGAGCAGAATATGGTGAAGATAAAATGGTAGTGATTTTTTAATGTTATAATGCAAACTGAGTAAAATTCTCACTTTTCTCTGCTGTTTCATTGTATGATGATCTTATATAATTTTTTACAAAACCTTACTTGTGTAATTTATTTATTTTTTATATACAAGCAATACTTCAGGTTTCAGTTTTTTCAAGTGCTCTGTTCCAGATTGGTGCTGTTTTAATGCTGGAGTGCTGAGTCAACACACACTATGGCTAGGATTTGGTAAAAGCAATCCAAAATAGAACTATTCCTGTTTTGTGAACCTTATCTTTCTTTGGTCTTAAAATACCAGTAGCTGAAAGTCACACATTTTGAGGAGAGAATATTTCATGGTAGTTATGAGCAAAGTGAAGGAATTTGAGAAACTAGATTCCCTCTCCCTGCTTGCCTTCTTCCCTTCCTCCCTCCTTCCTACCCTCCCTTCCTCCCTCCCTCCTTCCCTTCTTCCCTCCTTTCCCTCCTTTCATTCTTTTCTTTGAGAAAACATTTGTTGAATGCCTGTTATGAACACCACACATACATCTGTCAACTAAAGAAGGGCCTTGCCTTCATGGAGACTATTCTATTGAAGGAAAATAGATAAGAAACAACATAAGTGATATATAGTATGTATAGAAATTGATGTATGAGATCAAACAGTGATCAATGCCACACACACAAAAAAATGAACTGGGGCCAGCCCTGGTGGCCTAGTGGTTAAGTTTGGCATGCTCTGCTTCAGCGGTCTGGGTTTGGTTCCTGGGCGTGGACCTACACCACTCCTCAGTGGCCATGCTGTGGCGGTGTCCCACATGCAAAATAGAGGAAGATTGGCAACAGATGTTAGCTCAGGGCGAATCTTCCTCACCAAAAAAAAAAAAAAAAGAACTAGTATAAGAGGTAGAGAATGAATAGTGACAGAGTGGTTAAGACAAGGTCTTCTTGAGGAGGGAATGTTTTAGAAGAGACTAATTGAAGTTCAAGAACAAATCATGCAGATATTGCAGAGGAGAGAACTACAAGGAGAGCAAACAGCAAAGACCCTAAAGTAAGAGCGAGGTTTGCCAGTTCAAGGGACAGAGGCATCCACTGTGGGTGAAATTTGGGGAGTTTGGCAGAGAGTGGTAAGAGACCACGTAAGAGAGTTAAGGGTGGGGGAGAAGACCACACAGGGTCTTGTAGGCAGAGATAAAGACTTTGTGTTTTATCCTAAGTATCATGGAAAACCATCAGAGGGTTCTGAAAAAGGGAGCAACATGGTAGTAATTACTTTGTAAAAAGATCTTGCTGGTGGTTCTGTGGAGAATAGACTGCAGAGAGCAAGAGTGAAAGCAGGGAGACCAGTTATTGTTGCAGAACAGGCAAGAAATGATGGTGGCTTGGCCTGGAGTGTAGCAGGAGGATGGTGAGAAGTGGTCAGATTCAGGTTACGGTTTGAAGGCAAAGCTGGCAAGATTTGCTGAAGCAGTGGATCTGAGGAGTGTTAAGAGTCAAGAAGGATTTGAAGGTTTTGGCCAGAGCAACTGGGTCTGTGGCTACAGAGGGAGAATAGAAAGGGTCTGAGGACTCTGTCCGGGGAATACTCTGACATTTAGAGGTCAAGAAGTGGTGGTATCTCCAGAAAAAAACAAGAACTGGCCAATGAAATAAGGGAAAAATCAAGAGAGTGGGGTAGAAGAAAAAGAAATAACTCATTTTAAGTAGGATACAGTAACCATACCAAATGTTATTTAAACATCACTATGATGAGGATTGAAAATTGACCATTGTTCATGGCCATTTGGAGTACAGCTTGACAAGAGTGGTTTAATTCAAGTGATGTGTACAAAGTCTGCTTTGAGTAGGTATGAGAGAACTGGAAAAGAAGTGAAGATGTGCAGAGGCAACTCTTTCAAAATGTCCCATGTTAATTTGTGGGAGATGTAAGATCAGTGGAGAATTAAAAACACAATAAAACAAAACGTATAGGTGATATTACCACATTTATGTGCTATTGGAAACAACCAATAGAGAGAGGGAAAAATTGATGATGTAGGATATTTAGAGTAGATAATTGCAGGAGGAACCTCCTTGCATAGGGGAGAGGGGTGGGATCTAGTGTGCCAGTTGGTTTTGGAATGGGGTGATTTCGGTTCATTCCATGAAATGAAAGGAAAAGCAGAGTATGTGGGCACAGATCAAGGCGTGTTGAAACCTGGCTTCTCCATTCACAAGCCGTGTGAACTTGGGTAAGTTATTTAACTTCTCTATGCATTAATTCGCTCATATATAAAACAGAAAAAGTAACAATATCTACCTCATAGAGTTCTTTAGAGGAATGAATGAAAATGACAGAAAGAATTTAGCATAGAATTTGGCATGTACCGATCCTCAATGACACAAATATTATTTTTTGTAAACTCCTTAATACTGTTGAGTTAATCTTATGATTGTGTTATAAATGAAGTATTTATGCTTTTATATGCTGTATTGCCTTGTTATGTGTCTCTGTAGCTCAGGAGTTGGCAAACTAAAGCTGTGGGCCAAATGCAGCTTCCCTGGTTTGGTGAATAAAGTTTTATCAGAACACAGCCTACCCATTTGTTTATTGTGGCCGCTTCTGGGCTTTATCTGCTGAGTCGGCTGGGTGCTGCAGAGACTGTAGGCCCACAAAGCCTAAAACGTTCACTGTCTGGAACTTTTCAGACAAAGTTCGTTAATCCCTGCTCTGGCTATAGTATTGGTATTGGTAATACCAATCTATCCTGTATCCCCAGACAGACTGTAAGCCCCTTGAAGTCAGAGGTCAGATTTATCAGTTCTTTATATCCCTATTACACTATTATTAATGGGCAACATTAAGTAATTGTTAATGGATGTTGTTCAGATATTTTAGAAGTTTCGTTTTTTCACAAACCATCACAGATGATGGAAAGTGAGACTGCGTGGGAGGGGACTTTTTCTGAGGCTGTGTACTGACTTCGTGCACTAAAGTTTTACATATCACTCAGCATAAGAACCAAAGCCCTGTGAAGGCTCATGAGACCATATGCTGTCTACCCCTCGTCTACCTCTCTGGTCTCACCTCCTGTTCCTCTCTTCCCCTGTTGCTCTGGACCAGCTGTACTAACCTCCTTATTCCTCACACCAGGCAGGCAGGCCTCTCCTCTAGACTTTTGGCATTTCCTGTTTCCTCTGCTTGCATGGTTTGCTGTTTCACCTCCTTCGGGTCTTTAATCAAATGTCGCTTTCTACCTGGCTACCCTATCTAATACGATTGCAACCTTGTTCTGTCCTGCCCCCCCACCCTGCACCCCCCTGCCAACATTCACCATTCCCTCTTCCCTTTCCTATGTTACATGTAAGCTCCATGATGTTAGTAACTTTTTGTCTGTTTTGTTCACTGTTGTTTACCCAACATCTAGAATAGTGCCTGGTAGATAGCAGGTGTTCAGTAAATATTTGGGGGTGAATGAATTACATGAGTTAGTGATAAGCAGAAATTTCTCTTACCTGATTTCAGTCTGCTAGTTCCTTTCTTGCACCAGGCAAAGAGCACAGGCTCTTCCCTTGAAGACGTTTGAGGGGAACAAACCCTTAAGGAGTCCTCAGTTTTTCTCAGCTTGCTTCTATGGCCTCTGCTGCTCATGGCCTTGCCATTCAAAATGTTATCTGCTGACCAGCAGCATCAGCAACACCTGAGAGCTTGTTACAAACGCAGACTCCAGGGCCCCAGGATGACCTATTTGATCTGAATCTGCATTTCTACAAAATCCTCCGGTGTTTGCAGAGTTTTGAGAAATACTGGCTGGCCTAGGTTATTTGATAACTTCTTATAATCACTTTAGTTCAGACTAAGGGTTTTGATTCATTTTTGGTAATTCCTTTTACCGTAGCCCCTTTCTCTATGCTATTTTATTTCTATTACCTTTTTTTTTTTTTTTTTTAACTCTTTTTACTGTCTTCAACTCCTAAACTGCCAGACTGCCAGCTTAACCAGAGCAGCTTGGAGGACAGATTGTTTGGCAAACAAAGGATTCTATATGTTGGGGATGGCAGATGTTGGCAAAAGTGCTGCCCTTAGCCATCCTGTGTGCCTGGCAGACATCCCTCATCAATCATAGACCTTTTGTCTTGGGACTTAGACTTGGCCTATAATCCATCTCTGTGCCAGACATCCTATAAAATGGCCTGAGTTAGCAGGTAAGAGTCAGAAACCTGTTTATTATTCCTTGGAGTCAACTACATAGACACTCATTCACTCATTCTTTCCTTCAACGGATACTTATTGAGGGCTTACTTTATTTCCAGTAAGATTTAGTTCTAATATGAGAAAATCTGTGTATTGAGTTCATGTTTTTTTAAGACATAGAATCTTCTGCTTCTCATATAAATGGGATTCTATGATCTTTTAAACTAGAAAAAAATTCATCTTAAGTTGCATTAGTCTTTCAGTCAGGCCTCTGGAATAAAAGTGTGCCACTAATTCATAAGAATCTTCAAGGGGCCTGCCCAGTGGCACAGCGGTTAAGTGCGCGCGCTCCGCTTCAGCTGCCTAGGGCTCACAGGTTCGGATTCCGGGCGCGCAGCGACACACCACGTGTCAAGCCATGCTGTTGCGGCGTCCCATATAAAGTAGAGGAAGATGGACATGGATGTTAGCCCAGGGCCAATCTTCCTCAGCAAAAAAGAGGAGGATTGGCATCGGATGTTAGCTCAGGGCTGGTCTTCCTCACACACAAAAAATAAATAAATAAAAAAAGAATGTTCAAGATTGATGGTTTGTATAAGACTTCTCAGAAGTTGCCTATACTCAGTATGAAACAGAGGGTTGTAAGACAGGGAACAAAGACAGCATTTTCTCTGTTATTGTCTTTGAAAAGTACTGTAGTGAACAAAGTTATATTTCCTTTTGCTCAACTTTCCCAAGTCCACTTGTCTAGGGAACTTCCTTTATTTTCTAACCTATTGACACTCTTGAACAATCTTAACCAAAGGTTATTAATGTGACCAGAGAAGTCGTATTCGTCACAATGCTTCAAAAAAATGGTTTATTCTAGCATGATAAATTTGGTAATTAATTATAATCATTGACTTAAGACTTTCATTTGATATATTGATTTCAGTTGAATTTACCTTAAAAGCTTTCTTTATATACCTTATGTAACTATAACACAATAATGTGAGAAGTTAATTTCAAAAAAAAAAAAAAAATCTATTTTAGTGGTATCAAACTTCAGCATGCATAAGAATCCTCTGGAATGCAAAGTTCCAAGGCCCCAAAGCCACATAGTCTTTTTTTTCTCAGGCCTGGGATAGGGTCTGGAAATATACATTCTTAATAATTGGATCGGGTGTTTCTGATACAGAAATCCCATGGAATAAAATATTGTTCTACCTCAACGTCATATTATAGATGAGAATCTGAGCTCACTGAAAATAAACCACTTGTCCAAGAATATTTATACAAATGTCATTAAATGTACCAGAATAATAATTCTACTTTATCTACTTGTTTTATTGCTAGAGCCTGTTGACATATATTTGTTCATTGTATAATGTAGACTGATTCCTAAATAGTTTTTCTCAGGTAAATACTATGAAATGAAGACTCAATCCGTGAAGATCTCAATTTTGAATTCTATATTGGTACTTTTGTGTCATTCAGCACTGGACTTAGCACACAGTGGATTGTCACCATTTTAAGAAGTAAGGGGGCTGGCTTCGTGGCCTAGTGGTTAAGTTTGGTGCACTTCACTTTGGCGGCCCGGGTTTCGTTCCTGGGTGCGAACATACACCACTAGTCAGTGGCCATGGTGTGGTGGCGACCCACATACAAAAGATAGAGGAAGACTGGCAACAGATGTTAGCTCAGGGTGACTCTTCCTCAGCAAAAACCAAAAAACAAAAAAGAAGTGAAACATACCCTGAGCCTTCTCTCTTCTCTCTAACTCCCACCCCAATATCAACATACAGTAAGGTAACTGTTCTTTCTCTGAGGTTCATATTATTCTATTGATGTTTTTGGCTATGGAACTTATCACTTGCTACTTTTGCATGATATTTTTTTGGATCTTATATAGGTCCTAACCAAATGCTTTTCAAAAGTTTGAATTATCACAAGTGATTCTTGAGTGAATGACTTTTCTTTTTCTGTTTTTATTTTTGCTTATGTGAAAAAGTAGAGAGTGGAGTAAAGAGTAAAGTAGGACTTTGCTCTCCAGTCAACTAACAGGAACATTTTACCTGTAACCAATGTGTTTTTAGACCTCAGAAAGACTTTCTAATTTAAAGTCTTTACAAATATTTTCAGTAAAAACTATTGTATAATCAATGATCTGTGCACTGATGCATTATGTTGTCCTTTTAGAAAATTTATCTTGAATCTCCAACTTTATATTTTCCCATTTCCTGTAGCCTTAAAACATTCAGTAAGTTTAAATTGTATTTTTCTGACAGGTTGATTGTACTTCTTTTGAAAAAGAAAAAAAAAGGAGGCAATATTCTTAGATAAGAGATAGCTCTCCCAGATTCTACCTGCCCGCCGTCCCTTCTTGCCCACAACTACTGACCATAGTCGTATGTAAAGGCGAAAGAAAAAGGAAAACAAGAACAAGTCTATAACGGTTGACATCTTGACACTATATTGTTATGTAAAGAAGGACGACATCATTGATATCAAAATTTTGTTTGAAGTTATAATTAATAAGAAATATATCAAGAATATTTAAAACTGGGGGAACTTACCATGGAACATGCAATAAGAGCCAACAGGCTGAAGATGGAAGTTAATTTTTCCATTCTTTAATGTTGCCCCTGAAAGCAGGCCAATGGTTGTCTATGGTTAGTCAAATTGATGGACATTATTTTTCTTAATTTAAGATAAAAATTTAGAAAGGATTGTAGTGCATGTTAAGTAATATGACAGAGAAAAAGCACTACAGCCTTTTAAAGATGTGCTTGACATTTTGGAGAAAGGAGGCAGCATATATGCACAGCAATATTATTATGTGTGTGATATTTTATAACAAAATGATGGGACTTGTATTTTATGAAAGGCAAGTCCCAGATAATTGTTTGAATACATTTGGAAAATAAAAGCATTTTTGGAAAATGCCTGTTGCCTCTAGTGGTGACTAGTTTGGAGAGTCATAACTTATTTGGGTATACTTTTGATATTGTTTGTTAAAATTAATCAAAACTTATAGATTTCTGTATCTGTAGATTCATGACCCAGATAGTGTCAATGTGACTGGACTACTGTAAAAAAATAACTTCTTTATACAACTATTTTTTAAAAACAAAAGGTGTTATTCCTCTGTTAGATTTATCTGAAGGGAAAAGAATTGTGCAATGTGTATCTTTCCTTTAACATCACTCTACTAAGGTATGATTGCCTTGATATGTTTTTTCCCCAGTGATTCCCAAAAGCCAATTATTGTCCGTCAGTGTCTGAATTAGAAAAAGGGGTTCTGTCCTTAATCTGATGATAGTTTTCAGCAATATATCACAAGTACATGGCAACTTGTGTTCTGGGAAGGCAAAGTTCAAGCAACATCATGAGGACAGATTGCCTTGGGGTCAGTGTGGTGTCTGTCATCTGTACTAGCTTTGAAAATGACATAGGAAGAGAGGTCCACAAATTCTACAGTTGTATGTTCTTCTTAAAATTGCTTTCTGTAATAAGCTCTCTTTAAAGGCAATTTAAAAATACATAAAAAACCCAACTCAAATAAAAACAACAGAAATGCAAATCTGTCTTTATATGTCTTTAAGACTCTACTGCTTGTGATTGACTTTAGAGACCATTAAAATATATCAGCAGAAAAGAGTCAATAGATTGTGAAATTGGATATAAATTGTGCAACCAGTCAACATGAATTCTTGACACACTCTTTCAGAAATTTTAAAGAATTGGTGAGCTTTACCACTGGCAATATTTCTTTCTTAAAATACATTTGAGTATTTTAGGTAGCATGACTATTTCTACTTTTTCCTTCAGCTTTATTGAGGTGTAATTGACAAATAAGATTGTAAGATATTTTAAAGTGTACATGTGATTATTTGACATATGTATACATTATGGAAGGTTTCCCCTCATAAAGTTAGTTAACAACCATCATCTCACATATTTACCCCTCCCCCCTTTTTTGTGAGAACATGTAAGTTCAACTCTCTTAGCAAATTTCAATTATACAGTACAATGTTATCAACTGTAGTCATCATGTTATACATTAGCTCCTCAGACCTTATTCATCTTAAATTGAAAATTTGTACCCTTTTACTAACGTTTCCCTATTTCCTCCACCCCCCCAGTTGCTGGCAACCACCATTCTGCTCTCTGTTTCTATAAGTTTGTCATTTTTTTTTGTTTTTTGATTTCACATACAAGTGATACCATGAAGTATTTGTCTTTTTCTGTCTGGCTTATTTCATGTAGCATAATACCCTTCAGGTTCATCCATGTTGTTGCAAATGACAGGATTTCCTTCTTTCTTTTTTAAGGCTGAATAATATTCCATTGTATATATTTAACACACCATGAGAATGATATGCTTGAGAATATGAGCAAAAGTTAGAATTCCAGGATCAAAATCCTTACATCTATATTTCTAAGTACCTACCTTGGCAGGAGATTCTTTCGAACAA